CAGCAATTCACTCATCTTAAGAATATGTTGGGGCCATCCCTGTGGCATAGTGGGTAAAGCTGCCTCCTGCAGTGGTGGCATCCCATATGGGTACCAGTTCAAGTCCCAGCTACTCCACTTCTGATCCAGCTCTCTGCTATGGCCTGGGAATGCAGTAGAAGATGGCCCAAGTTCTTGGGTACCTGCACCCTTGTGGGAGACCTGGAAGAAGCTCCTGGCTTCGGATCCACGCAGCTCCAGCTGTTGTAGCCATCTGGGGAGTCAACCAGAGGATGGAAGACCTCTCTCTCTCTGCCTCTGCCTCTCTGTAACTTTGCCTTTCAAATAAATAAATAAATCTTTAAAAAAAAGAGAATATGTTACAAAGCATCACCTTTCAGCTCAAACATAGCAATAAATTCTTGGTCAAGAAAAAAATAGCAAATATGTTTACATATATAATGTGTACATATGAAGTGAATGTGGTAAAATGTAAAACTAAAAATAATAATCCTTTAAAAAAGAGAAACAAATTAAAAAAAAAAAAAACTTCTTCTCAAGTTCTACTCCCTATCCTTCATACATAGATGTGGTGGTTTTTGCAAAATAAATGGAAATTTAGAGGTTGCTCTATTTTTTTTTTAACAACTTGATGCAATTTGTAAAAAACACAAAGCAGCAGAAGCTAGTTGCAAAGCCTTCAAGGAGCAAATAATATCGGAAAGTGATTTGTCCACTGCCTCATGTCTAAGCAGAAGTCCAAAGAACCAGCTGGACACTACTGAAGCCTTCTGCAAAGCCAACCTCCCATTTAACTCTGTTTTGATCTCAGTGCTTAATGTGAGCCAACACCTGCTCACACATTAACTGTGGAATACTCTAAATCAAAGGACCTCTAATTATCTGAAATTTCTTCAGAACTTAAATTTCACCAGCTCAACTAATAAGATAAAAAGATATCTCATGTATAAGTACTTTGAATAAAACCCATCACATATTCAAAGAAAGCAGCATAGAGGAAGGTACTTCCAATAAATACACACTTAATTGTTCTCCATTTTAAAAGAATGTCAGGAAGCCATTTTTCTTAATGGATATACATTAAAAAGTTTTACATGGAAGTTACTAGAACATTAGGGATGGTTCATCAAGGTATGCTTGAAGAACTTTCCTCTAAGGTTGTCAAACCATCTAACATAATGGGGAACATTCAATCAAGAAAGAATTTAAAACAGAAGTTCATTGTAGCGTTAAGAACATATCATCCTCAACATGATTTGCATTATAATCCTAAATACAACTGAATTCTGTGGGCTTATGTCTTTTGCGTCTTTGTATCTTGACCCTACAGTGCCTACAGGGCACTTGGCAACACTCAACAAATTCTTGCCAAGGAAATTGGAAGTAAACATTTCAGAGATCTCTTTGCACACTCACAAGTATAAGCAAACCCATTACTTAAATAATGTATGGTGACAACCTTTACTGCTGATGTTTACCTGTTATTCTAAGTCATTTTAATATCCTAATTTTGTCAATATCTGCCTTATATAGCAAGTGCAATGGTAGCACTAAAAGAAAAAAAAAACTATTTAAATTACCATTAAGCTGTGAATACAGAGATTCATTCATAGAATGAGTCTTAGGAGAAATCCTACCTTCATCTGGTATGTTCTTTAACCTCTGCTTAGCTCTTCTAACAACAGGGACCACGCCTCCTCACATGATATTCATTCAGCTTTAGGGATAGCTCTGATCCTTACAGAGATCCTCTTCATTTTGAAATGGGCTCTGCTCCTGTCCATTCAAACTTTGGTTGGAACCAAAGCCCTCTAACTCCATGAAAATCTCACAGACATTTGAAAACCAGGATACATATTCTTCCTTCCCATTCCCCAAAGTAAATATCCTCACCCCAAGCAGTGTTCTTATTTGCTAAGGCGTAGTTTGTGGACCTTCCTCCCTACGTGGAGCATGTTTCAGTCTGCTTTTGCCATTTTTCTCATATGGAAAACTAAAACCTGAAAAGAATGATTTCCCACATTGTTTCCCATGTTCAGGGCTTTCGACATGCTTGACACATATTAGCTTCAAATAAACTGAACCTCAACTATGTTTTTATGTCAACTACCATTAAGCAACACCAGCCTATTCCTTATTTGTAGTTAAAGTTTGTTTGCTTGTTTCTGAGTTTCATATTTTGCATCTATTTATATTTAAAAGTTTTCATCTCCTTTTTTCCCTTTGGGTAATGTTTCAAGCTATCCTTACGGATTACTGAGACTTTTTGAATCTTGAGTCTGTCATTCAAGGGACATGCATCATATTAGCTCAACCTCTTCTAAGTCAACCGTGAAATAAACCCTAAATAAACTAAAAATCAAGTTCAAGGACTTCTATTTGCACGCTGCCCCTCGTTTTCTGAGGCTCTGTGCAGGGGGATTTGTCACACTGTGAGTGCCTTAGAGCCAGGATTATCTCTGCATTCTGATGCCCAGCATTCACTCAATCCCTTGGGACTTTTGTTCCCCCAGGTTCCACAGGAGCCAGTTTCAAAGCTGTGCGGGAACCTTTTCCTGCCAGAGGTGGTATTTCATTTCAGCTTGAAGTCCTGTTTTGGAATGAAAACTTAAAGATATTTCTAACCTTCCTTTCCGTTTCCCTCATATCATAGATCTGCCTTAATGCCCATCCCAGCCTCCACCTCACCCTGAACTCAAAAGACGGAATTCTCTTAAGAGACCATGCTAAACCATCAAGAGGGAACACAGCAAAGGGAAGGAAGTCAAAGCACCCCACGGAGAGAGAGACCAAGTATAGAGGGAGATTGTACTTCACCTCTGGGAACCTCCTCATTCTTCCTTTGCTTTTCCATTGTTCGTACTTAACATGAAGCAGACAGAGCTGACCATGTGTAAGCAGAAGTCCGCAGCGAAATGTAGCTCAGAGCAAAATGAATGATGGCTTATGGAAACCTGAGGATTGGAGTTCTGTTTCATCAACAGGGTATAATTTTAACAAACTTCCAATCCTGAAAGATTCAAAGTACAGTTTGCAGGTAGGTTGTACATGCAAAGATTCATGATCTGCAGGCTCTGACTTGCAGTAGGAGGCATTTATCTCTTCTGGTTCAGGGAAGGCAGTATAGTGTGCGGCTGAGATCAGTCAGGACTAAGAGTCAGGAGATGCACAGCTTGGCCATTCCCTTGCCCTGTGATTTGGCGGCAGGAAAGTCTGTGTGGGCTTTTCAACTTTTACAAATTGAGACAATGCTGAATAATATAAAAAAATAAAAACTTATTTGAGAGAGACAGAGAGAGTGCTCTCACTCTATGGTTTGATCACCAAATGCCTTCCATGGCCAGAGCTGGGTAGGGGATGATACCAGGGACTGGGATTGAATTGACATTTTTTAAGTTGACGATTAGAAAATGTCTTCCCAAATTCTTACACATTCTTTAAATATCTAATGTTTAATGGCTACATAATATTTCAGAGTATGACTATCATTTAGTGGCTACATAATATTTCAGCGTATGACTATCATGTGTGAAAAGCCAAACTGCCAATCAAATTGGCTATTGTAATGCCATTAAAAATTATCCCCCGGGTATTAGGAGGTCTAAGACCTGCAGTTGCCTAAATGAGTCAAGAAAAAGCTCCATCATTCTGATCAGAAATGGCAACACACATTCAAGCCCAGGCACACACACTAGCGTAAAAAGTAGAATTTAGCCCGGAGCAATCTAGCCTGCCTTCCGAAAACTCCCTTGAGTACTGTTTTGCTAGCTGAACTCATTACAAATTGTTTTTATGGAGGGCGCAGCAAGTAGTTCTCAGTTCTCTATGTCACTGCAATTCAGAGTTAGCAGTCAGAGCTCCACCCCAACCTGATCTAGTCCAGGGATGAGAAAATGGGATAAAGGCCACTGTGACCTTGAGATGAGCAGAGTAGGAGTACAGGAATGACACACGTGCCCAAAGCCCAAATCTACGCTTTCATTCTAAGGGAGATGGAAAGAACATAAACACGCCCCAATTGTTATTAAAAGAAAGACAGAAACGGTATCAGCTCACAGGTGGGCACACACGCTTGGGAAACCTCCATCAGGCTGTGAGGAATCCACGCTGGAGTCTGTTTCAAAATATAAGACCAAACGCTGCTCTTGGTAGGGTTTGAAATTGGTGGTAGCGGGGAATCTATCACGTCCCTTCACACAAACTGACTTGAAATTCTCACGTGGGCCCTCCTTCCCACCATAATGGGACAATTAATCTTTTTAGCCTGAATTTCTTCCAAACCCCTAAACTTACACCAGTCTTCTCACAAAGTTTCATCAGTTCATTATCATCAGTTCCACAGGAGAGAAAACCCAGTTTTACTTAAAGCAGCGGGAGCGACTCTGAGATGCAGCGGCCTTCTCTTCAGTGCTGTCTCACTTACTACCTGTCTGCAGAGAATGGACGGCAGACGCCGTGCTGTAGCTTAACCACCACTGAGGCTCTGTTTCAGTGTCTCGTTCATTTTATCTAGGAATGATCAAGGGCCTACTTAACCCAAAGGTTAATTCTGAAGAAAAGCGAGATGAAGTGTGTAAATGCATTTTATAAAATTTCAAGCTATTTGCAAATGGAAGGTTTTGCTTTTACTGGAAGGTCAAATAAGCAACAACATTGAGATCGGAACAGACTAGGCTAATACAGACTTGGGCTCAAATGCTACTGCACACTTGACACTGGGCAAGTTTTTCATTTCTCCACAGTTGGGTTTCCTCATCTATCATAGGGCAGAATTGACGTATTATGTACTTAACCGGGGTTAAATGTGTTCTGTATTAATGACGCCTTCCTCACAAAGTTAATGAGTAGATGAAATGACATTTGTCATGTCTCCCCAACAAAAGTGGTCTCAATGGACAGCCTTGTGTTATCACAGAGTTAAACAGAAGTGTCACTGGTTAGCTGCAAGCTATCCTGAAACTTTCCCTGGAATATCTTTTGACCAAAATATTTAAAAATGCTACAGCTGTGTCAAATTAGACACCTGCCTGCCTGTGGCAGGTGCTGGCCCAAAAGGCTGTGGAGTTGTGACTTATGAGCCCTGTCCCCCCAGGTCGGGCTCACAGATACATTTGGTCACAGACAGCGAGAAAAGAAAAAATAAATAAATAAAAGAGAGGAAAACATGTATATATATATATATATATATATATATATAAATGGAGTTGATTTTATCTTTCTGATATTGTATTTCTAGCTATAGGGAGTATACATCTCTGTTTAGAAAATCCAGGAGAACAATAAAACATTCTAATTAAATGTTAAAAGCAGTATGGTCACCAGATTAAAATAAATATTCAAAATGTACAATTAGCTCTATGCATCATATACTAACAGGGAGGGAATGAACTTCCCCATGATGGCTCTGGAAGTAATTGGGGAATGTGGAGAAAAAGCAATCATCCTAGATCTTCACCTCATCCTAAACATGAAAAACCATTCTTCCAATAATTACTTTCATATTAAATGTAAATACTGACACCACTCAAATACTCTCAGGAAAGATGAACTTGGGTCCCTCCAAACATACATATTCATACATCTGTAAATTTAACTCTATGGAGATATACAGATAAAAGAGACTTACTTAGATGTCCAAAAGTGTGGTAATGATATAAATGATATGAGAAGACTTCCTGTTGTGACAACTGATTGCCAGCATTGACCCAAGTCACCTGCTTCACTGTGGGGGAGGGTGCTCTCTCAAACCTCATTACAGCATATGTGCATCGGAGGCTTCCTACAGGATTTGGTTAAAGAAAACACTGTTCCCAAATAGGAAAGGACTATCTTTGGTCTAAGTTCCATCAGTAACTTTATCTACTTCCTAGAATGCCTATGTAGATTCTTATTCTACAGCTGTATATGAGGAGTCTTCAGAAAGTTCATTGAAATTGTATATGGTTATAAAATACTATGTGTGGGTGGCCGGGGCTCACTAGGCTAGTCCTCTGCCTCCGGTGCTAGCACCCCAGGGTTCTAGTCCCGGTTGGGGTGCCAGATTCTGTCCCGGTTGCTCCTCTTCCAGTCCAGCTCTCTGCTGTGGCCTGGGAAGGAAGTGGAGGATGGCCCAAGTGCTTGGGCCCTGCACCTGCATGGGAGACCAGGAGGAAGCACCTGGCTCCTGGCGTTGGATTGGCGCCATTGGCTGCAGCACACCGGTCGTAGTGGCCATTTGGGGGATAAACCAACAGAAGGAAGACCTTTCTCTCTGTCTCTCTGTCTCTCTCTCACTAACTCTGCCTGTCAAAAAAAAATTAATTAATTAATTAATTAAAAAAATACTACGTGTGGGTTTCAAAATTTTTTCCTTCAAAACACTTTAATTCAATTTTTCATTAAATTTTGAAGTACTCTCATGAAAGAATACCTACATTTAGAATCTCAACCAATTAATATGTTACGCCAACTGGGAAAATCTGAATATATACCCTTGGTATAAAGTTTTATGAAAGCCTTAAATAATTTTTTTTTTTTTTTTGACAGGCAGAGTGGACAGTGAGAGAGAGAGAGAGAGAGAAAGGTCTTCCTTTGCCGTTGGTTCACCCTACAATGGCCGCCGCTGCAGCCGGCGCACCGCGCTGATCCTGGCAGGAGCCAGGAGCCAGGTGCTTTTCCTGGTCTCCCATGGGGTGCAGGGCCCAAGCACCTGGGCCATCCTCCACTGCACTCCCTGGCCATAGCAGAGAGCTGGCCTGGAAGAGGGGCAACCGGGACAGAATCCGGCGCCCCAACCGGGACTAGAACCCGGTGTGCCGGCGCCGCAAGGTGGAGAATTAGCCTATTGAGCCACGGCGCCGGCGAAAGCCTTAAATAATTAAGGTCAGAGAAAAACATTCATTTAAAATTATGAGTGATTATTTCTATTTATCATGTGATTTTAAGCTAAAAACTAAACTTAGGATTTCTTATCCCCTCCTACAGCCCATTTTACCCAAATGACACTTTTTTTTTGGAGGGGCAGAGGTAGCAACAAACATGAGGTTCTACCACATAAAACACAGTAAAATTTACAAAAATCCTCTTTGTCCATAATTTTAATCAAAAGTTCAGTAATCAGAGCAACTGTCCATATCCCTCATCATCTTGCCCCCAGTTAGAAGCCCATTCTGGCTTTTTTTTTTCTGGTCTCCTTCTTCTCCCTTCTACCAAATGTTTCCAACCTCTGGCTATCTTCATACCTCCTCTCTGTCCCCTACCCCTACTCCCACCCAACCAAGTATCTCTATACTTCTAATCTTCTTTTTGTATATATTTATGCACCTGTTCTTATGTACATCAGTGTAGCCTGTATTCTCTCACCTTTTCATATTCCAATCCACGGAGTCAGCATTCCTTCTTATGAGTAAGGCCATGATGAATGGGAGAGAGAGGTAAAGGCGGAGCAATTACAAACACTCAGCAATTAAACAACCACATGCTATATTTTCCTATGGACCTTGTCACATGTGTAAAAAAAAGTCACTATGAAAACACTAAAGTTCCAATAGGAAACAGGATCGAAGACATTCACATACACTTTACTGAAGCAGAAATATGAAAAACAAATGGATACAGAAAACAAAACCAACTCTGCTAGTATGCAGACAACAGCAGATGAAAACAATGAGACATGATTTATCCTATCAAAGCAGCAAAGATGAAAACTTACAACATTGCTTTTGGAAAGAGTGAAATCAACTGTCTAACATACTACTGGTAGAAACTTAGACTGAAAGCGGTTTTGCAATGCAAAATAGAGCAGTATGTATGGTGAGATTTTAAGTTTCTAACCTTTTCACACATTGCTAGAAACAATAAGGAAGTAATATTCGAAACTTACATAGATCTAGGAAATCACATTATCTATTTTTACCATTATTTATCAAGACAAAAGTTAGAAGCAACCAATAAGTTCACAATTGACTGTTGGTAAAAATAAGTTAAGCTATAGCAATACACTCAAATATTAGTTATTAAAATTGAGATTTTTGAAATCTATGTAATAGCATTGTAAAATGCTAATGCTATAATGTGAAGTTAAAACATGTTGAGTAGGGGCTGGCGCTGTAGCTTAGCAAGTTGGGCTCTGCCTGGGATGCCAGCATCCCATATGGGCGCCTGTTCCAAACTTGGCTGCTCCACTTCTGATCCAACTCCCTGCTGACACACTTGGGAAACCATCACAACAAGGCCTAAGCCCCCTTGGGCCCCTGTACCCACACGGGAGACCCAGAAGAAGCTTCAAACTCTGGCTTTGGATCCAGCCTAGCTCCGGCCTTGCAGCCATTTGGGGAATGAACCAGTAGATAGAAGACCTTTCTCTCTCTCTCTCTCTCTCTCTCTCTCTGCCTCTACCTTTCAAATAAATAAATAAACCTTTTAAAAAAATGTTGAGTAGGAGGCCAGTGCTGTGGCATAGCAGGTAAAGCCATCGCCTACTGTGCCATCATCCCATATGGGGGCTGCTTAGAGTCCCGGCTGCTCCACTTCCAATCCAGCTCTCTGCTATGGCCTGGGAAAACAGTGGATGATGGCCCAAGTCCTTGGGGGCCCTGTACCCTCGTGGAAGACCAGGAAGAAGCTCCTGGCTCCTGGCTTTGGATCGGCGCAGCTCCGGCCATTGCAGTCAGTTGGGGAGTGAACCAGTGCATGGAAGGCCTTTATCTCTCTCTCTGCCTCTCCTTCTTCCTCTGTGTAACCCTGATTTTCAAATAAATAAAATAAATCTTTAAAAACAAACTTCATGTTAAATAACATAACTCACATAACAAAAATGAATGTAAATATACCAAAATATTAACTGTAGTTATCTTTGGATTGTGGAAACTTTTATTTCCTTCTTGACTTTTCCTAAATTTTCCAAATTACCCTAAAGAGGAAGATTGAGGGAGTATTTCTTCCATAATTAGAAAAGAGTTTTATTTTTTCCAAAACCAAGAAATTATATCCAAATGGAGTTGTAAATAACCAAATGCCATTGCTATCTGTCCTTAATTAACATTTTAAACTCATGGATGAAAATTAAAAACTAAATCTCTTGTCCCTAGGAGAGACTTCCTTGAGGAAAGAACAGGACATTCTAGCTGCAAGTAATTTGATGGAGTCAGAGACTAAAAAGAGAAGTGTGGACAAATAATGACAGAGCATAATGAGAGTTATACACTTTCAGGAAAAACTTAGTTACTTGTTCTAAATGATACAGAATGCAATGACTTACTAGAAGCCATTAAAGATGAATTATTACATTTATATTTTTACTCATCTGAAGTCACTCATAGGTTTTACAGAAAAAATATTTTTAGTAGATTATCTCCACAACTGTATTCACAAACAGCCACATCTTTCTTTGATATCTGGTTTTTTCTAACTGCATGACCACAGACAATCATTACTGAACACCTGGTGCTAAGACTAGGATTTGTTACTGACCATTATGAATGTTTAACACACAGGCCTGTTGGACATGTCACTTACAAACCACTCACAGCACCATGGAGCAGAAAGTTAGCAATGGGGAAAGAACCTGATTGTTCTTTAAGATCATAGTTTAACCAAATCCCAACCTTTTACCTTCAACTGAGGGAGTGAGGTAGGAAGAAGAAAATAGTTAAGGATAAGACCATCTTCCCTGTAGAGTCTATCCATTCTCAGGTAGGCCTGATGACAGTATCTTTATTTAAAATACACACAGGGAATCTTCTGACCATTTAAAATATCCCCTGTGGATGAGATTCTAAGAAAAAGAAAACATCTCAGGAGAGTCCTGGATTTTCCTGAGTTCTTTAATTTCAGGGTAGTTCTGAAACTGAACATTCACCTAACAGCCAAGAAGGCCTCTGGAAACCCCAGCACCAAGCATGAGTTAAGAGTTCCTCTTGGGAGACGGTTTCTGCCTTTACAGAGATCTCAGGCTCACCCTCATGTCAGCCTCAATTCTAAGGTAATTAGATTCTCCTTGGCCACTCAGTGATTTCAGGCCAACCACCACACGACAGCTCAATCATCTAGATGGCCACACTTGAGGCTTCCTTAAAATTTTTTTTATTACAAATTATAATGCTTTTACCAAAAAGAGCACAAGATCTCTGTGTGGAGTTTAAGAAACA